ACGCGCGCGCCTTATTTCGCGCGTAACGCGCGCGCGCGTAACGCGTTATAACGCGCGCGCGTAACCCGCGCGCGTAACGCGCGCGCGCGCGTTACAGTTTTCACACCTTAAAAAGATGAAAAAGTATAGCTTAATAATAGATTTGTAGCAGCAAGAGACTTCGCAGGTCTCACTAATTCAAACCAGATCACAGCACATTCTTACTAGAGTTAAACTGACTGGCGATCCGAATCCGAAAAGTGTACCTATGGTATCAGTATAATTTCCAGCACGGAGTAGGTGTACTAGGACTTCAACATGACGCATTTTTGTTTCGCGCTTAAAGGCTATGGCAACGGTGTCGAGAAGCCACTATCTGCGGAGTACCTGATGAGAGTGATCCAGCACCTTTTGACCATCGAGGGAAGTGGGGAAGATGGAACGAGGAGCAGTGTTGATATGCATCGGAACAGGGTTGCTGCTCTGCCTGAAGAAAATGCTCTGCCTTCAGGGGCTAAGGAAGCGGACATCGACATGGGAAACGTAAAGGTAGAAAATAACATGGAGAATAAGAAGATGCGCAACTCTTCTGCAAGGCACGATAACGAAGGAGCAAGGACCACAACGCGGGCGCGCAAAATCACGGTAATGTGGGATGGTGATCCATGGCGATCGGACTCATTCACGGCTCCATTGCCTGACTTGTTCAGAAACCTGGCAGGAAATGCAAGAGCACAAGACGCCGCACCATTTTCACCTGCAACAACGAGCGTCAGCGTCATTGCTAATCGGCTACAGGGCGAGGGGAAAAAATTTATGAAAGAATATTCGAGACCCTTCTTGCATGGAAATAATGGCAGAGTCGCGGGGCTGGGTGTGGGCGGAGGAGGAGAACTAGGCGTGGGGAGAGCGGAGTCGAAGCGCGAGAGCCATATCGAGATACAATGTTGTGAGGTCAAGGTAGATGAGGCGGCTCTTCTACAACAGAAGGGATTGGGAAACACGACATCGGACCCAGCATGGCAAAGCGACTACAGTCAGCTTGGAGTGAGATCTTTACAGCGCGAATTTGAACAGGTATGAAAGGAAAGAACTGCATATGCGCTCTGAGGTTATGGTAAGTTAGTAGTTTTCCTCAAATCTTTCGGCTCCGACGGCTTCACCTAAACAAGCACATTTTAAAGGGAGGGCGTCTAAGAGATAGCTAGGCGCACCTTAGTTGGTTAGTCCCTACGAAGATCTGTTGGGGCAACTAGAAGTATCGCCACAGGAGAGTAGACATCACAATCAGGATGATCAGGACATTCTCCTGCTAATGTAAACGGAAAAAACTACGAGAAGAAAGGAGTACTACACAACATTCTTTCATACAAGGGAAAGAAGCTGATCATTGTCGCGCAAGGCGGTGGCCGAGTTTTAAGGGACGAATTTCGAAGCTGTTTGGAGTCAAAACTTCCTAGTAGTTGGTACATTTGGGAGTACAGCAGAGGAGGGGAACGGCCAGCGGTTCTGACGGATCAACACCTGCGACAACACTTCGTGAAGCTTGAAGAAGCAGTAGACCTTGGCGTGAAAGGAGGACGAGGAACCTCGTCGACGCGTACACCTATTTCTCTTTTGGAATTGGCGGGCTCACCGGAACAAGTTTCGATTTTTCGTGCTGTCATCAAATGAACACGTCGTGGAGATTGCACGGCATAATCAGATGGGTGCACCATCACGCTAGGCACGCAGGTCTAGCTTGGAGGAAACTCGGTCGAGATCAAGTTGCAAGAGTGGCCATGAAAAGAACTCTCTCTCCCTCAAACTGTCATAAGAAGCTGCACTTTTCTTGACGTTCTCTCCCAACAAGATGAAACGTAAGAACAGAGCCATACAGGAGCTGCATACTCGTCCACAGCGATACGTATCAATTTATTACAGGTGACTGCTCACTGTGGTAATCGCTCTACTTTCTCTTGTTGGTCTGCTCAGGAGCACAGAAACATGCACAGCGCTACTCATTGAACCAGCGGAACAGCGTCCGACGTGCTTAAAATCCAGAAGCTTGTTTTTCTATACACTTACTTTTTATCTGTGCAGCCCGTTGGAAGTGTTCCCCCATAAATTCAAGGTTTAGAGTCCATGCATTTGTTGATGTCGTGAAATCTCGACAAGTCCTGGCTTTATACAGATGATGATATAGCGAAATTATGAGAGGAAGCCGTAGCGGCCTATCTGTACAATCTTTTTAGTAGACCAATTTAGTTGTGTGTGGCTATGGATTCAGATCCTGGATCAAATAACTGCAAAAATTGAAGTTGACCTTCCAAAAGCTATGGATAATTTTAGTGTAGACTACAAAAGATCAGATACGTCGTGATTTGTTCAATTTGATGATGAAAATAAGTAGACGCTAGCTATTCAAATTGTGTCTGCGAAGAAGCTGCTGCTCATTTTTGTCGTGATGTCTTTAGTTCCTCGTTGTGTGGAATTCTTTAAGTACTTGCTCTGCTCTCGAGGTCCATTGTTTCACGGCCAGGGTCTGCCCGTTGTATTGCCCAGTGCTGCTGTGCTCTTGTTGTCTGAACCTCCTCGGTTTGAGCTTCCTGCTGATGCTCTTGTTCGGTAGTTCCTGCTCCGACGACTACGACTTCAGATAAAGAAGACTGATGCTGATCAGCTACAACAGCAGTTCCAGCTGTCGACGGCTCTACTGTTACCTGCTGAATCGGTCTTGGAGGTGGAGGCGAATTATGGCTATCTGGAAGCAGGTCTGCTAACAGTTCAGAGTTCGGGATCTCCTGTCCAGGTGGTACGCGTGGGTTCTGCGAGCTTGCCTGAGTACTCTTCTTGCGCGTGCGAGTCAGTTTTGCGCTTGATGTGGATGCGCAACTTCCTTTGAGCTCTTCACTACTAGGCGCACCCACCACCTTCACCATATTCGCTGCTCGTTCTCTCTTCTTGAATTTCCTCGCTTTCTTAGGACTTTTCGCTGGGCTTCTAGAGATTTCTGCTTCCAGAGGTGACTCAGCAGGTGGAAAAACGTTGCTACCACCACCATTTTCGCTGTCCGAATGGACTTCGTAGTTCGTCGACTCTGTGACTTGCAAGCTGTTTGTGCTTTGTCTTGCAGTTGAGGAGGAGTTTCTGCCTGAGAAATGTCCTCCAAATGTGGCAGTGTCCGCAGCGTGTGGCAGTCGTGCATCTGATGGGTTTTCTCGTGGCGGCAATGTCTCGTCTCCGACGGCTGCACCTGCAGGCTCCACTCCGATTGGAACAGCGCAGTGACCTTCTCCTATACTACCAAATTTCTTCGTATCATCTTCTCCCGACACTTCTCTAGAAGACGATGACGGTCGCCCTTCTGCGTGTTTGCTCAGATCTGCCATCTGCATATCCTCCAGCCACGAAGCAGTAGAGCGACCGGATCTGCTTTTTTGAATTGCTGCTGCGACGACCATATGAATCTTATTCGGCTCCCTTTCTCGACTTTCCACGCCACCTAGACTATTGTTAGAACTAAGGGAAACCCATTCTCAGCAGCATCTTGAGCCCCATTCTCGTTTTGAAGCGTGACCAAGATGCCTGCGAAGATGAATTTCTTGTAGCCTTAATATTGATCCGGAACTTTCCACTAACAGCGGGATGTCTGGGCTTTTGGCAGAATAGGTCTCCCGAAAAACCGTAAGGGTAGTCGCACAAGACGTCGGTGAAGGTCGCCTGGTTCTCCTTATCGAAGTAAGGTGGTAACGCCATGATCAAAAACGCTTGCGGAATTAGAGCTACAACCGCGGTCGCATCCCGGGCAGCATCCATCCTTGGCCTCTTTTCCTACCTGAAAAAGGCACCAAGTACTTAGGATGGTTTGGAGTACTTATGCCTCTGCGGTAGCCTTAATGGAAGCACTCTTGGTAACACGACGAAGAGAAGAAACAATGTGACGAGCAAGATGAGGATATGCTGCAACAAGATAGCGAGGTCGCCTAGGCCTCCACTGGCGGAGGAAGATGATTTGCCTCCTTCAAAAAATGTTAGAACTGCCACCAAAGATGTTGGGGAAGGTGGATTTCTTCTTGCAGCCTTAAAAATGCCTCCAAGTCCCAGTCATAATCGTAGCTACTCCAGGTTCGCCGACTACAGAGACCCCGCGTGCACGCATAGCAGAGGAAAAATTGCAACGCCTGGATAAGCCGCACTGTGATAGTTTCGGTTGAATAAAGTTCGTGAAATTTCTTCAGCCACATAGCAAACGAACTGCGATGGTTCACTCGTTATATTAGCGCTCGAAGTGATTGCTCATCTCATTCTAATTCTACCCACATACAATGACGATTATGTTCAGAATGAACCGGAGAGAAATCATCGCTGAAGCTCGATGAGTTACTATGTCTGCGGGCCTTAACTCAAGATCCAAAGTTACACGGGTTTTGCTCTGCTGCTTCATCTTTTGGAGATAGTGCGTCGTTATCGCGCGGCGCATTTCTCGAGGAGGGGAGGTGATAGCGTTCACGATCTTAGCTGCTGTGGGTGATCTAAGGATACTCATCTTTTTCCAAGAGGGTAAAGAATTGGCATTGGACTCTGGAGAAGATGCGCCAGCAGTTGCTTTCTTCTCTGGAGAAGCAATACCGCCGGGGATTGCTGGAACATCTGTATTTGCAATTTGTTCCTTCTTACTAGTCGTAGCAGTACTAGAAGCTTGAGGCTGAGGATGAGCTTGTTCAGGGAAGACTTGTTCTTTGTCTACTTTCACTACTGGCGCTGCCTGCACACAGCCCGCTAAGATCGGAGATCTTACTAGGTGGGCACCATCCACCTTGTTGAGGCTTGCTTCTACTTTGATTAGAGGTAGGCTCTTGGTGTTCGCTTATCCCGTTTGTTATGCCTGTCTCCCCTAGGAGAGCCATAACAAACGGTAACAAAAACTCCTTTAGCCTACCCTTAATTTGAAAGAGAGCAAGGAACTCGACGGGCTTCTTTGTCTCTGTGCTTCAGCAACTTCTAACATGGCTAATGGTCGCGATGCGGGAAGTGGTTTCGTTGCTAGAAGTGTTGGCTGATGGAGAGGTTTATTTGCTGGTGGAGGCTGAGTACTATGGTTGTTATCCTGAAGTGTTGCTGATGGTTGATGCCTCAACGGTCCAGCCAGAGTAGTCCCTGACCTCGAAAAGGTAGCAATTTTTTCCCATCCAGGCTTCCCGACGAAGAAATGTAGATACCCTAACAAAGTTACTAGTACGAAGAAAACACTGCCCATCAACCACCATCGACTGACGTCGAAATAGATAAGAAGCAAGAAAAGCGCGGTGCCTTCCAGGACTAAAACCCAGCAGCGAAAGCCGAACTCCACTAGTTGCGTTATCATTTCATGGATCACCCGCTGAAAGTATTTCTCCAGGTACACGTTTTCCTTGCTCAGCACGTGAATGCCATAGACACTCTCCGTATGGTACAGAACGTAGTCCTTGCACTTGCTATAGAGTTCATGCTTCTTCTTTTCCTCATCCGAGCACTGCAAGACCGTTTCGCCAGTACCCTGAAGCAGCTCTGTAAACTCCCCATCTTCAAAATTCTGCAGGATGTCACGGTTGGTGACGTAAACCAAGTTGAAAATGCTGCCGAAGTAAAAGATCATCGCGAGGAACATTTCCATATGAACGTCTTCGATCGTATGGAGGAGGTCGTCACCTGTGAAGTCCGTCATTGTTTCAGATACAAGTTGTAGCTTGCTTCATGTAAACGGGACCAGTACGAGGACACTACGTACTTGGAGGTTACTCGCATGCATGCATACTACAGACTACCAGAACTTTTTTTCAGCTGATATGAATGAATAGGTGATCCTTCAGTTGAGAATGGCGCGGACGTGCTGATGGTGCTGGAAGGCAAGGTCAGTACCATTAGCCGGGAACATCCAGTTGCTCCTGTATGTTGCCGTAAAGAGGTATGCTGCTGGAGTTGCTGTGGTCGCGCTGTCGTCCATTGTCCCAGATGCGTCGCTACCGATAGACATAGAAGAAACATCAACATCTTCAGGCACCATAGTAGCTGGCGGTTTATTCGTGCTAGTTTTGTAGTTGAAAGCACCACACTGTCGGACGCTCCATATGAGCATGGCGATGAAACCTAGCACTGTGAGCTCCACCTTCGTCCGGGATAAGAGTTTGCTATAGTAGAACTCCTTGCCGACTTCGCGATCCGTGCAGCCAGAGACGTTGTCGACGACGCCAAAGGATTAGAACAGTGGTGTTCAGTTTGTACGCTAGGACATTGGAGGAACACTGATAGCCTTTTCAAGAAAAGACACTGCTCCCAACACCTCGTGTCGATTCTAGCCTTAATACAAATTCACATTGTAGTTTTTCCATCTGTCTATGCGATCGCGATCCTTGCTACTCTCTTTCCTGCGCCGTCTTTTCCTCCTCTTCGACCACCTTTTTCTTGTTCTCGTACTACTCTGAGATCCAGAGGACGGCTTCCGCTCATAGTTTTTCTCGGAAGAGGAAGAGGCTCCAGCGAATGCGAATGGTGTCTTGAAGTTGGCATTAGAGATAGAAGAAAAGCCATGAAGTATGAGTAGAAAAAGCAGTTTCATCTTCATTGTGAAGAATGAGTAGAATTACTGTCTAGTAGTACTAAGTACTTGACCACCGTAACCTTTCGAGACGACGACGACAGACCGGGACCTCCGCACAAGCTTCCACTGGCATCCACTGCTGTTTTCGTTCTCCACTTCCTGCTCGAGAACAGTTGCTGTCGAATGCTCGATGTCCACTCGCGCATACTACGTCTACTCGATGTGGTAGAGTTTTTCCTTGTCCTGCTTGACTTGTTGAAGATGTAGAGGTCTTCGTTGTCTTCATCCTCAGAGCTAGAGTCTTGTGCTGCATGTTCACCGAAGCCGTTACCCCTGTGGTGTTTTTTCCTTCGACGCGATCGATTGGAAGATGACTCAGAAGATGTTGAGTCATCATCTTCGTCTTCGTTCAGCCTTGAACAAGAGGAGCCCTCGGGTGAACTCGACAAACCCCGAGTTAAAAAACCGTACTTCAGCGAACTACGGAGGTTGAATAGGCGTTTTCTACCACTAGAACAACGCGAAGTTGTCGCGCTTGGTGTAGAGAAACTGCTACCGCGTGTAAACAGACGACGTGGTAGTTGGTCATGCTCGTGATCCACGAGGTTATTTCTGCTATTTCCACTTCGTGAGCATTGCAACTGTTCCTGAAGTGTTGTTCTATGATTGTTGTAGTTGCAATCAGCATGTTGTTGGTTAACATCACCGTGTTGATCCTTGTCAAGCGTGCGTAGATCCCGAAAGCTATCTCCGCTCGCCAAAGGTCGATTAAAGCTCGATCCAGATCGGGTACTCCCTGTTCGCGTTGTACCCGATAGAGCGCCCAAGGAGCTGCTTCGTCCAAAGGAGACACTTCGCGACTGCTTGCCAAATGGCTTTGAAGGATCTTCTTCTTTGTCTTCCTTTACAAGAATTGCCGAAGTTTGTATCTGCTGGTGCGCGTGCGTGCCTCTTCCTCTATCGTTTGCTGGTGTTGTTACAACTGCAGCTCCGAATGGCAACTGATGCCTTCCGCCATACTGGTGAAGACCACTACCTTCGCACTTCGATATCCACCTTTCTGCTGATGATATGATGAGAAATGACTAGAAACTACAAGATAGTACGCACACCGTGCCTATAACTATATATCCTTGCAAAAAAATTCAATCGCAACGAAAACCATATTAACACTGCCTGCTCCGTCCAGTTTACTTCCACTCGTTAAGCTTTCCCCTCCGCCAGAACCACCAACTACAGCACCGTGATGCCCACCCAACGCGCTGTGACTTTCCTTTCCCGCACCGTTCGCTTGATGGCTTTTCTTGCTGTGATGATCGATGAACTCCTCAACCCGTTCAAACGCGATGACGATCAAGATCAAAGCGAATAGAATACACAACTCAGCGAAAAGATACTGCTGTTCACTTTCGTACCAAGGACCACGGCCGGCAGCCATCTTAGGCGCGTTGGATTTGGAAGAGAGGAAAAGGAATATTAAGAGTATAATACTAGTATACAACAAGTACTTGTACTAGAAGGATAATGAGAAAGAGACCAGAAATAAGGCAGGGACATGGAGTCCGATCTTGAACGAAACACTATTCTTGAGAGAGGATGGGATGGGGAATGTGCTTTCGCTAAAAATGGTGGTCCTGAGCTTGAGGGCGACTGGAAAACTTAGAATATCTTTCTCTTCTTCATGTTCACTGCGCCCAGCCATTTCCTTCCGTGCTGCGCAACTATTGCCACCCCGAGCGAGGATACATCTCGCGCGCGAGAAACGCGGAAAGACGACGCTTTCCAATGATTGTCTTGAGAGTCCTCAAGCTTCTCAAATTCCTTGCTCTTTCGGGTTGGTTCATGAGTTACATCTTCTGGTAGAGTGCGGACGTCACCATGTCTGTGTTTGCTCGTAGTTCGTGACTCATACATTTACTGTGCAGTGTCTATTCAACGATAGCACGTAGATGATGTTGATGATAAAGGATTGTGGAAGTAAGGTGATGATCTCCAATATTGATGGTGTTTGAGTTTGTGCTTCAATTCATTTATGTCTGGGAGGTAGATTTCTAGGAATGTATTGATTCTGAAATTGAATACTGATCTTCGTTCTATATATTTCATTGTTTCTTGTGTCCACACCCCAGACGAGCTTCCTCTATCCTCTCGGCGAATACACAACCGGTTCTTCAGGCATAGGCACAACCTGCTTGGCGCTACGTGATAACAGCTCCCTCACCGGACTGCCTGTTTTGATCGCTTGTACAACTTCCTTCTGCCGTTTTGGGGAGAGATACCCTCCATTCCGCTTTGGACTCAAGGCGTCGAGCGGGAATTAGAAGAGATGTTCAACAGAATTCATTACTTAGATTTACTACAGATCCTTTTCCTTGTTCCGGGGATTCTCCTGGGAACATTTTTTTCCATGTATAATTTCAGGACGACAGTATTTACTGCTCGGGTTGATGAAGATGACTTTTGCCAGTTCCTTTTAAGTAGATGAGCCTTAAATGATCTGAGTCTGCAAGTTTGCCACCTCCGTTTTGACAAACGTCTTTTTCTTCCCCAGGTCTTCGATCTTTAGCTCAGCCTCCTCCGCTTTTTCACACTGCTCTTCTGCTACCTCTATCCGCTCTTCACAAAGCTGCTCACGGGGAATGGTACCTTTTGATGCATAGTAAGTTAGCAAAGTGAAAAAACTGTATTAATGACCCGTACTAGTTAACCTACTTTGTCGTTCCCATGATGCCCGACTTATCTTCAAAATCCATCATTCAATCACAAAAATTGTACTACCTTCTTTATTGTCCTCCCCTTTCTTTCGCATTTTCGCTTCTCGCTCAGCCGCATCTAAGGCACGCGACTTTGCTTGAGTCACTGGCTTTCCTGGCGCATATCCTACTGTATCCGGCACTTTCTGGAACGCGTATTTCTGTGCCATAGTCGGCGAAAACGCAGGCTCCTTGGACTCGGTCTGGTGGTTTCTTGTGGTAGATTAGAGCTGTGCAAAACATCATCTTCTTGGTCTAGTATCATTTCATCTACTTTCTCAGATTCTGTGCTACTAGAAGGTCAGCATTCCAGCCAAGCAGTATGGGTTGGTCAAACAATCGCGTGTCAATCTGTAAGTGAGTTAAACCCAAAGCCTTAGCTCCGACTCCGTGGCCGCGACTGGGCACCCCCTGGAGGACTGAATTGACCACTCAGAGAAGGACTTGATTGCTCTGCTGCTGCTGCTTGCGTTTTTTCCAAAACACTATCCAAAAACGATTTCGGAGATGGTGACCGACTTCGCAACCGCGACAACACTTCCTCCACTCGTTCTTCATTCTCGTGAATATGCTCGTCTACCGGCTCTAGAGCTGCACTTTGACCTAGCAGATGGTCTAGTATCTCTTGCTCATCCTCCAGCGTCGGTAAGGCACCTCCTGCTGAATCGTCAACAAATGGCCAAGCATCACGGGATGATGAGGAAGAACTCCGCTGAGGAATTTTCTGTCCTTGTGGTCCTGGTCTGCCGGGAGAGAGGTCTTTTTCACGATGGTTAGAAGTGGAGCTACAGCTACTTACTTAATTGCTTGTTCTTGTTCACACCTCCTTTTTTAGGACATCTACTTCATAGAAAGAGATATTGCTGTTGTATTTCTTTGCATGTTAACTGAGGAAAACAGGAGAGGATACATCGACATCCATCGTAGTCGTACTATAGCCATAACATGATCAAGATTATCGAGACCGTCTCCACCAAGGGAACCACCTGCCAAATCCGGCCTTCGCATGGACGGGGATGTTCGCTCTCCAGCATCGAGGAATGGGGCTACTTCTAACTCTTTCAGTGCAGGAGACTTATCCCCAGGTACTTCAAGTGCAGGAGACTTATCCCCAGTAACTTCATCAAGGCTTCTCTCTACAATGTTTTCTGGCGATGACTTTGCATCTTGTTCTGGAGAAAACGCGGATACAACTTCTGCGTGAGCCGGTAGAGGCAAAACGAGTTTCTTTTCCTGTTCTGGGGCAGCAGTTGGTGCAGCAGCAGTGGGCGCAGCACCTGCAGGCTTTGAAGAACCACAACCCATCTTTCACTCTAAGTGATCATGTGTTTTAGATTTAGATTTACTTCTTACTTCTAGTACTTTGTTATTGTTTATTAGGTTTATTTTTACTCTGTAATTACGCTAAAAGTTCCTTATTCAGAAAATGCAGGAAAATGAGTAGGCAAATGAAATAAAACAAAGATTTTAAAGGGTTTCGGTTTTGGTAGGGTTCTCTCAAGAGAGAGTTTTGCGACCAGAACTAGATGAACTTGCTCGCCCGAAAACAAGGTACACTTATATACACACTTGGTCGCTTTTTTTCATTCTAGGATCCTGTCATTGATGACTTATGTATGCTGTTGTTCTACCTCAAAGAACTGACGTAGCCCCTGACTATTGATCTGCTGATAGACTAAATTCTCTTGCTTGTGTCAATCTTTTAGCCTCAGGAAATTACACAAAAGGAAGTTTCCGGTAGATGCCAGCACCTTGCTTCTCTGGGTAGCACGCAGATCAAGTTAAACGCAATGGCTGCGGTAACAGATGAAGGAAAGTTATGGTCTACGAGTAGGCAAGTGCTTTCGCTTGGGTCGTGCTATTTTAACTGTTTCAGACAGAAGGGATGAGGTATAGACACTCAAGGATGGCAGTAGGTTTTTCCTTTTTTCTGGAAGTATAAAAAGCACGCACTTATACTACGTACTTTTCTAGGAGCTAGACGCTAGATTCTAATCCTTCCTCCCATCATCTTAGGAGTTCGCCTTCAATCTAAATAAGGCGGACGAGGTTACTCTTACGCAGACAGAGTGGTAGACGAGGTTGCGCTTGTCCTGTGGTTCTAGGTAGAGGAGGCTCATGCAGATGGATTGGCTCGAGACTATGCGAAGGGCCTGGGCATTGTCCTCAGCGATGTTTCTTGGCTCGATGAATAAGCATCATCATGTATCTTGATAGGAATTTGCTGAAAGTCAACTTGTAGCTGTTAGCTTGGATAAAGGACGACTGAAGCTAGCAGCCGACGCTGTAACGTTGACAGACTGGCGCCGATCAGTCTCTATTTTCCGCTTTCGTGGTACAGTAAAAATAAAAGTGTTCCCTTAATACGGTGCGAGCAAGTGACTCTTCAGGTTTACCGCATGAGTGAGAAACTAGAAGACACTATGGAGAGAGAGTCTCTTGCATGGATTCAAAGAGGACGAGAAATTTAGATCAATCTGAGCTCTCCCTACAAGCTGCCGGCCCTTCTACTAAAACCGCCTTGATAATAAAAGTTTCCATATTAATTTGTGGCTTTTGGCTCAGTCGCGTGACGTATAGAATGAGAGGCAAAAAAAACGACGAGAGCCGGAGCGTGAGCGATTATATACAGCTTGGTGTGCAACCTCTCCAACCCCTCCACTGAACACTATGAATTCGGCAAAGTGGCCCTTCCCAGATGATCAGTTATTTGCTATGTATCCCGTGCCTCTGTTATCCCTTTTCTAGTCCTCTTGCGGTGCATATCTCGACGATTTTCTAGACCTTGAAGCTTCTGTCTATAGGTATGGCGTTGTGTGTGTAAGTATCGGAAGGCGACGGCGTAGATTGATAAGATTACTGTATGTGGTTACGAATCCTTCAGAGTTCTGGACTATCGATCCATCAGTCCTCACTTGATTGGTGTGCTAAATGAATAGAGGAACTGTCAAGCATCGCTGGCATATTTATTATAGCTTTCGTATTCTAGGTAATAAACTAGTGCTTCAAGTTGTTACTGAAGTGCTTTATCTATTCTGAAATTTAGAGAAGGGTCGAGAGATGAGTACATGAAAGAGCCTCAATGTACTATCTAAGAAAGTGGCGCCACTTCATAGCAATAGGTCTTACTGGTTCTCTTTGCTCGATATATCTACTTACTACACCTTGTCCCTTGCTTTCTGCAACTTTCTTATACCATACTTACTTACTTCTTCTAAAAATGGACCTTCCATGCGAAGTCCATAGAGTTGTGAGTAGAAACTCATTAGCTTGGGTAGAAATTTATGACAAGCACGGAATCGATCGACCCGATTGGCTCGTTCTTCCCGAGCAGCCAGAACTATTCCGAGTCTACTTCTGTATACCACTTGCCGAGTACTGGGATATAGACTGCAGTGGAACGGATTTGCCAAGGAACTTGAAACGGGCCAAGTTCTTTGGTATTACAGAGAGCCACCTGCGCAAGACTATTGATATTCCTGGGACCGATATCACATTTGAACGCACTCATTGCCCTACAGACGACTACGAAGGCAAAATCGATCTGGGTTTCTTGGTATTCTAGTCAAAACGTTTTCTAATGGTGCGCATTTCTCTCAGGGAATAGGTCTGATAATCGATGGTAGTGCTTCTTCTCGTGACTCATTAGATCCGTACTTTACAACTAAGTCGAGCAACATCACTTTACAAGTAAAAAGAATCCAAATTCAGGCACTTGAATCCTACGCACATCCTCGATTACCATACCTACTTCGCATCTTGTTGTTGTAGAAGAAGCAGAGACTAAAAACTGTCAAGACTTTTTATGTTTAATAAATACAAACGCAACACTCTTAGACCTTCGAACAAGCACGGGACACACTTAAAAAAGTGAACAAGAATATTGCGAACCTGCAGCTTCGGTGTTACCCAAAAAAACCTTACTACGAAATTAGACGGGAGTTATCAGAAGTACCGAAGCAGTTCACCCCAGAAACGTGGCCTGCAGGCAAAGTGCGCAAATACATCTGGGAGGTACATCTAGACTAGAAATTCCCTTTTTTACTTACCTAGGTTTTTGCAGGTGCCAAGATGTGCGTTATATATAGTATCTGTAAGTCTAAGATCGTAGTAGCCTCGTGCTCGTGCTTGATTGAACTCCTGAAAAGCGTAGGCCCGCTTCTTATTTCAGACTCAAACTCTACTAGAATGCGATAGGGTCGCTTCATCTCATCAACTTTTTCCTTTTCTTGTTTTCAGTTAAAAACTCCGACGAGCTGCCGTTCTAAGGATATCCGCGTTCTATTGGGCGAGAATAATTGGAAGAAGAGTGGACCCAGTTTTTTCGTAACCCTTGACGACGACGCGAAGGAGGTGCTACTAAGATTCTTCCTAAAGTCATTTTTATCACACTCTTGCTCCCGTTTGAGTAGGAGCCTGCGCTAGTCTTATCTATCATGGTTCGTCTTCTTTCTCAGAGCTTGTTTCTGTTTTCAAGAATTTCGTCAAAAGGTTTTGCCATGTCTCAAGAAACATTATCTCATCCCAGTTTTTGCGATACGGCTGCGGAGACGACGGCGACGAGGTGGCTTCAATTCGCGAAAATTTAGACAAAATGAAGAATAGCGAGAGCAAGGCTGTGGGGGAGCTTGGGAAGATCGCCAATTCCATGGCCAATGAAAACGGAGGCATTGTACTACTACTACTTAGATTCATTAAGAAAGTTTTTTGCTAGTAGAGTATAAGCTTAAAGTTCTACTACGTCAAATTCCAGTTAGTTATGGCATCTTCTAGCTGGAGCTTGTTCTAGTTGGAGAAGACATAAGTTACGGAGGGCCATAGTTTGGGTGGAACTGCATTCCCGTAGTAGCTAGTAACTAGACTGCATTCCCGTAGTACTGACAGGTACTGGATATTTATTGATGCGATCCAAATTGTCGCACTTCTTATACTACGTTAAGAACAAGATCTGGCTCTACTTTTATCTGAATAATTACAGTACGTAGGTAGAGGCACGGCATAACTTTTTCAGATTTTCATCTCTTCAAAAAATGTTGTCAAGGTTCCGGATTTATCCAAAATACCCAACTTTCCACTTTTCTTTCAGTAAGTTTTGGCTTTGTCATGCTTGTCATTGGTCTCAGGTGCCGCGCCGTAATGCATCTGTTGATGAAGCAGCGAAAGCAAGCCTTGAAAGCCCTGGCCTCGATGGTGTTGAACTAGATGTGGACGCCTTGGAGCAGGAAAGCAAGTTCAGTCCCGTGTACTGTCAAGACAAGGAGCTGCAGGAGAGAGGAGTTTTGTTTGGTCCGCCTGATGATGATCATGCACCACTCGAGGACGAGGACGCAAACAACAAGAAGGAAAATAAGCAAACCAAAGCCATGACGAAGCCCATGAAGATGGTAGTAGCAATGAAGAGAAAAAATAAGAAAAATGATGAAAATCCACCTTCTCCGGTTTTTAGCAGCCAGCAACAAGAAGAGTCCAGCGTGTCTCCTCCTAAGAAGATGAACAAGAAGAAGAGTGCGGCATGTGAGGTGGCAGGGAAGCGCTCATCTTCTCCCAGAAAACAAGAGAAACAAGTTACTTATCGTGACGAGAGTGGCAAGCTATGCTATACATCTTCTCTACAAGACAAATGGTTTCCACGAACTGCGCGACCTGCTATGCCAATGGCCTGTGCGACGAAGATGTGGGATGGGATTCAAAACATGACTCGCGAAGATCAGAAGGAGTATCTCGCATCTGCTACTACTACCACTACTACAACACGATCATGCGCCACAGCTTATCATCGCATGAACCTGAACAAGAAGTCTAGATATGTATTACGCGAGGCATGGGAGATGTTTGGGGCGCAATACTTGCGCAGGATGGAAATACTGGACAAAGAAAAACTTCTAGGAACGCAAACTAGTCTGCTAATCGGCCCTGATCTACGGCGACAGCAAGTGCGGGATCACGCTCTGGGTGAATTTCGACGCAATCATGATCTTCGGCGTACGCTGCAGGAGGATCTTGATTTCGAACCTGTTCGCATGCAGTTCCAACTAGATCCGAAAGTGCTCGTGTGGGAGTCTGAGGTGATTGCAGCATGGCGGAAATACAAGGCGCAACTCACGGAGGAAGAAATCGCCGAAAACCGCAGGAGCGATGAAGTTCATAACATGGTGAAGAAGAATAGTAGTTTCATCTTCAACGACTTCATGTCGCGTCATGGGCGCAGCCTTCCTAACGATAAAAGTGGCAAAGCGCCAAAATTATCAACACTAGAAGAGGCAGAAGAAATAGCAGAAGAGCTAAAACAACAACTCGAGCTGTATGATGAAGAAGATGAAGATCAAAAAAATACGAAGTACGCAGAGGAGCACTACGGCGTCAACAGTGATGACCGTGTTCGTCAAAATATAGATCGACACGATGATGCGGACCTGATAACTGCTCCGTTACGCCATGGCACAGAGAAGCATCACCGCGCGATCAACAAGAACAAGCACGACACTCGAGTGTACAACTATTGCGTTTCTCATGGTTGGAATCCTAAGAAAGGGCCTGCTCCACAACATCTCGTAGAGGAGGCGAACGACCACTTTCATGTCATTGCTAGTGATTATACGTCTTCCAGCGAGCACGGTTGGGATTCCAACGAGGACAACATCTATCTTGGAGAAGATTCCTCATCTTCCGATGAAATTGGCGATGACGTTGCTGGTGATGATGATGATGTTGATGATGCTACTAGTGACGACGATGATGATGGCGCATACGATGCTCGTGCAATAGTGGGCGCTTTTCGTGGTCGTTATGGCACTTTTGGCGAAGAGTCTGGACTACTATCTAGTAACCATCACTGTGCGGGTGTCGCGGCAAGTTCTTCTAGCTCATCCGGTTCTTCTTCGTCTTCTTCTGCGAATATTTTTAGGAAAGGAACAAAGAGTACATCAGCAACTTCAAAGGAGACTACAAGAAGTTCTCCACTTGTTTCCTCCTCAAGCAAAAGCTCTTGTTCTTCAAGCTCGTCGCATGCCATGAATTTGGCAAGTAGGACCACCGGTTATCATGGTAATCAACATGACGGAACGGCAGTCGCCAAGCGTACTTCGAAGCGATGAGTGATGGACTACGCAAGGTGTCTTCATATAGATACTACAGTCCTTATCTTTATGTGACTTTCTATATCCATTGTTTACTTAAGGTCTGACTATAGAAGCAGAGAGCTTTTATTTGTGTGTTTAAGATAAATGTGTTCTCGAAGTCGTTGAGCACAGCTTTTATATTTGCTCATATTCCTCTAATAAAATCACAGGTATGATTGGAATTCGAATAAGTGCGATTCTGCAGTGGAGGCACGATCTTGAGAAGCTGGCTAGAAGCTAGCAGATAGGAGCTCTTACAATTTCGTGACTTAAGTTTTCTATTTTCATAGTGACATCCATTAATGTTTTAGGTTCGACATCGACGCGCTTACATGAAGACGCACATGAATTATAGAAGCACTTGGCTGTTTGTCACAGTTTTCTCATTGTGCTAGGCCTTCACTTATTACAAGCGTTACACAGTAGTAACCAGACGTTTACCATAAGACTGCTGTCGTGCGAAGGATGTGAATTATTTTTTTGTTACAGCATACAACTACTGAAAAAATGTCAAGGCGTGTTGTATCTTCTTCTACCAAGTCCTCGGAGCTGGAACCATATCTCACTCAGTACTTCATATTTTTTTGAAATAAATATAATCATGACTATGCGTGTCGTGCTCTAAGTTTAAGCGAGCCTCTCTTGAGCATTATTATTGACGTGAGTAAGTACAATAGAGTCGGGGTAGACGCTTGTATCATAGTATGCACAGACTCAAGAGCTTCATGTAGTAGGTCGTTTTTGTTAGATACTATGGATACAGAGGATGCAAACAATGATAGAGTGCTGGAGATGTTTCGACTGGTTAGTTCAAAATTATTCATAATCAAGATCAGGAAAGTGCATGAGATTTGGCTGTAGCCTTATATCACTAGGATGGTTGTTCGTTGTACTAAATTAGTTGTATGCACAAGATACATTATAAATCAGCGACGTTTCGCCTAGATACTCTAAGACATCCAAGAGCTCTTCTTTTAGAGTCGTTTCGATATTACAACACATCAATACCATGGGTAAGTCTTATCTACGGAGGCTTCGCATTATTTAGGGAGAGGACTGGAATACATAGGACTGCGCGACAGGTCTGCAACACGTTTTGGGTATATATTATTAATCCAGCATTTCCGTTTGATTAAGTCAGCACTCGCTTCTTTTCCCATCAAGCGGGCAGTCATTATTTTTCATGAGTAGAAGTTAAAGAAGAGGAGCAACAGGCAGGGCTCTACATAATAGAAACGTGCGTTCGTTTTACTAGTGATTTCATAATTTTTGACTTGTGTAAATATAGTAGTCTTTTTTACTGGAGTAGTTCCTTTCTGGTGTTACAATGTAAGACTATGAACAACCACAACTGGACCCTGTGGCGCGATCTCTGATTCATCATTCTCACGACAAGATCTAGGCACTTGCGTCAGGCCGTTTTTTTTGCAAAACAAAATGAATCTATGATGTCACCAAAATCAAAGTGTTTACTTTTTCTTGTAGTGGCTTGCCCTTATATATATTCTGCGCAGGAGCTTGTGTTGTCCTCACATTTTGAGAGAAAATTGGTGGAAAGAGACGAGAGAAGAGAAGCTTGGGAAACGTTTACACCTTGGAAAAAAGAGCAAATATGGCTAGTAAAAATCAACATGAGCGTCCTACTGGTCCTACCCTCCTCTTATGGGATTTCTATCGAGAAGCATTTTCTATCTAGCGACTCTTTTTTATGACCCTGAGCGTAAAAGTCATCTGTTTTCTTATCTATGTGCGCGGAGTAGTTAGTAACATTGGTAGTATCTCTCAGTTTAAATGATGTTGTTGTAAAGGAGTTTTCTTGTTTCCACAAAATATGTTGTCAAAACTTATCGAACGAGAAAAGACGCAATGTCTTACAAAGGACGGCAGCAAGATTCAAGAACGAGTAGCTGGTATGTTTGCTGAAGGATTTGGCTATGCGGATTCGAATGGGCTTACAGTCGGAATAGAACAGGCAACGATTCTGTATGGTGCTCTGTGTGCCGTAGCGCCTACAACTGCAATCGAAGCGTGCCGAAAGTTTCGGTCTGACATCCCTTTGGTCATTGTCCGCGAAGGTGATGGAAGTGGTCGCTGTATGAGGTGCCGCGGAAGTCGTGGTGGTGTGGCAGACAAATCCGCAAAGCAATACTTTGTTAGATCAAGTATTTGCGGGTTTCCTATCGAATCACGAAAAAGGCCGCGACCAAATAGCACCACTCTTCCTGCTGCGAATAAGGTAGACGTAGAGGCGTGGGCGCGATCTCTCCTACAGCTGAAAGTGAAGCCTTCTGCTTCTTCAGCGTCCGGCTCAATCAGAGTGGACACACACACATCTACGACAACGGAATCTAGGTCCCTTTATGTTTTTGGGAATGGCGAGCACCGACGCGCGAAGACGCTTCCATATGCGAAGCTGTTTATCCCTACGATGTTGAGGAACAATCGTGTGGGCGAGTTCTTCAGTAAGCAAGACCTGCATGAGTTGCAGGCGTTGAATGCTGAACTGAAAGAACGAGGCGCGTACGGTCTGTTTGTACCCATTGGAGATACCGGGGGCTTGGCTGAGATCCTTGACGCGTGCATGACTGTGCTTCTTAGTCCTGGGCTGGACAGAATAGTTTGCTTTGGATGCAGGTGCTTCATGCACCAAGTAGGTATTGCGGAAGAGGAGCTGATTGAGGAGCTACTTCGTCTTTGTGGAATAAGCAAAAAGCGGTGGGAAAAACGAACATACTTGCAGGTGCTTTTATGATGGTTCATATAGAATATTTCTCATGCGTTTTCGTATATTCTAGTAGGTTGACGCGTATAGCAACGGCGACTCAGTCCGTCTTAGATCAAAGTAACAACTTTTTATAAAAATATAAATTGAATCTGTATCCTTCACTCTACTACAGGCAGTTTCGATCCGGACGGGTATCATGAAGATTAGGAGCACACTCCAGGATATCTTGCAGCAAATTGTTCGGAAGAGTAACGACTCCCTTGGTCGACGTTTAGTGGGCTGCAGGAGATTTGCGGAAACTGTTCGAGCTAACGTTGAGCCAGACAGTACTAGTTACTTTGTTCAGTTTTGAAAACAACTTCACCGATAGCGTGGCGGTCTAGATTTCACATGTACATGCGTAGTCTATTGATAGTCTTTGCGTTTTGAAATGAAAGAGCTGCTTGTTATTTTTTTCTGATCTAAATCAGGTAGTCCCGGTTTTGACTATGGTCTCTTCATGCGACACGGCGGAGACGAGTTCTTCTCACTAGCAGACGAGAAAGCTAAGAAAATGCTCACTGTGGAGTACTTAGAACAGCAGTACAAAAGCCAGGTAGTTCTTCGCTGGAACCGTTACATGACCGTCAGCAAGTGTTTGCGTGGACAGTTGCGTCTTAGTGGATTGGGGCTTGGATGGATCTTGCGGAACCGTTTAGATGATCTATATCTTGCAGAAAATTTGCGAGCATCGGCAGTTAGCGTGGATAGTTTCACGGAGTCTCAAATAGTTGACTACTTTGTTGCCCTTGCGTTAGCGCCTATGGATGCTGTTCACGCTGTACAGCTGTCGTTTGGTCCCGGATCACAACGTGAGCAGCTTGATGCTATGGAGCGAGAGCTGGACTTCGTTCGCGGTGTTTTGTATGATCATGATCGAGTTGAAGAAGAACTATTCATCATCACTTCGCTGGACTTTAGCTCCGACGGCGCTTTGGATGCATCTAGATGCGTACCCTTGGAAACCAGAATCTTGGTCGATTCTGTCCGTCGAGC